CTCTGTTTGATGACCAACAGCTAGTGGGGAACGATGGTACTCATCTTAGCAAGAGGGGCACATGTCTCTTTGCAAAAAGGCTGGCCAACCTGGTTAGGAGGGCTTTAAACTAGGCAAGAAGGGGGAAGGGGAGTGGCACACTGACGCGGCAAGCAGTACCGCACAGCCCAGGTCAGATGGCGCCCAGCGGGAGTATGGTAGTGGGGAAGTGAGGGTAGGAAATGATCACAGAGGGTCCTCTTTCACCCCTCCTGGGAAACCTGTGGCCTCTGTTGCTTCCCTGAAATGCCTGTATACCAATGCGCGAAGCATGGGGAATAAGCAGGATGAACTGGAGATCTGTGTGCAGTCCCAGTGCCATGATCTCATTGGAATCACAGAGACGTGGTGGGATAGCTCGCACGACTGGAGCGCTGCCATGGAAGGCTATGTGCTCTTTAGGAAGGACAGGCTGGGAAGGCGAGGTGGTGGAGTTGCTCTTTATGTGAGAGAGCAACTGGAATGCATGGAGCTCAACCTGGGAGTCGAGGATGAGCGAGTTGAGAGCTTGTGGGTAAGGATTAGAGGGCAGGCTAATGTGGGAGACACTGTGGTGGGTGTCTGCTACCGGCCACCTGACCAGGACAAGGAGGTTGATGAGGCCTTCTATAGGCAGCTGGATGTTGCCTCACGGTCACAGGCCCTGGTTCTCATGGGGGACTTCAACTACCCCGACATCAACTGGGAGGACAACACAGCCAGGCATAAGCAGTCCTGGAGGTTCCTGCAGAGCGTCGACGATAACTTTTTGACGCAGGTTGTGGAGGAGCCGACGAGGAGAGGTGGGCTACTGGACCTCGTGCTATCAAATAGGGAGGGCCTAGTAGGAGATGTTAAGGTGGGGGGTAGCCTCGGCTGCAGTGACCATGAGTTGGTGGAGTTCACGATTCAGCGAGGAGGAGGCAGGGCTGTAAGTAGCCTTGCGACGATGGACTTCAGGAGGGCCAACTTTAGCCTCTTCAGAGACCTCCTCGGTAGAATCCCATGGGCTAGTGCTCTAGAAGGCAGGGGGGCCCAAGAGAGCTGGTTAGTTTTCAAGCGGCACTTCCTCCACGTCCAGCAACAGTGCATCCCTGTGTGTAGGAAGGGAGGCAGAGGGGGCAGGCGACCTGCGTGGATGAGCCGGGAGCTTGTGGCAATGCTCAAGCAGAAGGCAGCAGTATACAGAATGTG